TGTAAGCTCTCGCTTGTCCTTTACGATTGAAGTTTAACCGTACTCAAATAGAATTTGACAAACTCTGTATTTGTCTAAGTCAAATCTAGTAAGATAATACACAGGGTGGCCTCCGATATTTATTATCCATTATTTGTTATCCGTTAATTAATTCTCGGATATAAAATAGAATTGAAAGAAATTCCAAAATAAGTAGATTTATTTATTATTAATTGAACCCCAAATTACGCTAATGTTATAAGTTATTCCATTGCTAAATTTATTAAGTTAAGCGCAAAAAATAGTAAACAAAACAGAATAATTATACTTCGAATTGGGACGTAATAAAGAACAAGATTTTCTCCAAAAAATATTTTGTCTTGGTCCATGAAAATTTTGCAATTTTGTTAAAAAAAAAGGTCAAAGTAAAAGATTTCTTTTAAAAGCAAATTTTAATTCAACAAAATTTATTTCCTATTTTTGTCACAAACATAAACGTTTTTTACTTTAATTTTTTATTGAATAGATTTTTTTTACAGTAATTTAAGTATAATTGTACATAAAACATTTACCATAGAGGCATCTCCTAATGTAAACAAACAGCAATTAATTTCTATTTTTAAAATACATAAATAAATATTCAATGATGTAAAAATCAGTATAAGTAGTAGGAGTTCTCATTAAAATTGAGTCTATAAAAACTATATAAGACATAAAACATGTACTTGATATTTCCAGATTTTTATATAACATAATATTCTGTTTTCATATAAAATGAATGGAATTAGTTAATTTAATTGGAAAATTAAAATAACAATATATCTTAGTGAGTTTCACTTATACTATAATTCCCAAAAACATATTAAATATAAAATAATGAGTGTAATATTTGTAAAAACAATAATATTAATATTAATATTGTATTATATAAATATAATATTACTGTTATACAATATTGTACAATAAATTTCCAAGTTAATTAGTAATTGAACAGTTTAATTATTATTATTATGAGTAAGCCTACATAGTTAATTTAAATATAAATGGGAAATGTTTATATAATGTATAAAAAATTTCCATTTATCATTACAAAAAATATTTGAACTATTCGAAATTCACTTTATTAAATAATAGAGTATTGTAAAAAAATCAATGTGAGTTAAAAGTTACACATATTATAAATTTTCTATGCAAAACAAGAAATATGCCTTTAACATGCTTGCTAACAGAGAATCGCTTGCTTTAGATATAATAGATAAAAATGTCACTGCTCCTGTGAAAATTCCACAATAAAAATTATTCCGTTTATAATAAAAACCTTTTACATAAATTTTTACACTGTAGCTTTTTCATAAACTACAAACTGTTAATAAGATTGGAAACTTTTTTTTAAGATTTTCATTAAACACTACAGGTCTACCGAAAATTCAAAAATATATTGCATACTTTTAGGGAAAATATTAAAAAATATTAAAAAGTGATATCGCAAAGTACCTATTATTGCTGTTCTTGGATATATTTTAATAATTAAAGATCAAAAATAACTAATTAAACTTTAAAATTAAAATTAGTCAATTTTAGGTATACAACCACAAAAAACAAGAGAAATAAAGTGAATTTTCCGTGAAAAATAATGGTAATTATCTGACATATTTTTTAATAAAGTTTCAGAAATATTTTCATAGAATTTTAGTTCTAATTCGTCGAAAAATTATAAATTGAAACCTTCGCAATAATTTAAAAATTAAAGTTTTAATTACAAAACAATTTTTATTTACCACGAAAATTTTTTAATAAAATATTTTCAAAATTTCCTTACTAAATACAAAAATATTTCTTTTAATATAAAATATCAATTTACAAGGATAAAATCTAAAATATTTCCGTACAAAATGCTTTGAGCAAAATTATTTATCAATTCATACCATTAAAAAAATATTTAAAAAAAAAAAACAAAAAAACAATGTTAAAAGTAAAAAAAATTAAATTCTTTTGTTTCTTTGTTCTTTGATTTTTCGCAGAAAATGAAAATTTAGAATGAGACACTTTATATCTACTAAAATATCAAATGTACGAATCTTTTCAAAATATTTATAATATTTATTTCAAATAATAAAATCAAAGGTTAAAATAAGCATATAAGAAAAATGATATTTTAATATTACAAAAACTTTATTTTAAAATATAAGAGAATAGAAATCTTATTCGATAAGAATCACAATAATTTGTTATCCTTTACAATGAATTGATTATTGCGATTTTCCTGCTGAATGGAAGTGTATGGAGACTCTCTCCTTCTTAACAACCATGATATTTTTGGTTGTCTCTAATATTTAAATCAGCTGATAAAATTACAAAATTTTGAGGTAAAACTAAGAGAAAAAAATTTCTGAATTTTAATATTTTTCTCTTAATAATTAATATTTGTTAGAATATAAATTTAAATTATATTAAAATTTCAAATATTCAATACAAAATAGAGAATAAAGTACATTTATGTATAACAATGCTTACGTTTCTATCTCATATAACTATAAAATTGTACATTAATATTAATCTTTTTTTATACAGTAATAATTACGATACCAATATATGAACAGACTGTTATCGAGAAATTTGGTATTATTTTTTGTATCAGCGACAGAAATGAGACAGAGTCATGAATTCAATTGTTTGGAGAATATAATGCACGTATACATCTCTATGGAAAAATATTAGTTCATGTTGTTTACAGAAGTATAATTTGTTTTTTCTTCTTCTATTGTATATTAAAACAAAAAAAAAATGTCTAGTACTTGGAATTTTTGAGATATGAAGGAATTTTATATTTACTGTATTTTCTGTTTAAAAAATAATAGTTCGCGTAAGGCTTTTTGCGATATTAAACGTGTTGAAACCTTTGTACATACTTCATTTCATTCTCACTTCTCTAATATAAAAATTTAGACTCAATTTCTCTATCTATTTAAAAATATTATGGTCCCTGCAAAAATTTCAATTAATATACATGTGAAAGTTTCGGTAAATTTTTTTGTACAGCTCAACAACAATGAATAAAAAATAAAGTTGGATCCGACCAAGAGTTTGTAGTGAGGCATTTTTTCATTCAAAAACTGAAAATACTGCTTGCAAAAAGTATCTACTACATTTTTTAAATTAGTTTAATTAATATACTAAATTTAAATAAAACTATTGCATACATTCAGGATGCGCAAAAAAAAAGTTAAAGAAGCATTAGCATATTAATATATGGTTGCATTAGATGGTTAAGCAAATGAGTTTAGAAAAATAAATTAATTTTTGGTTAGCATTATATTTAACATTATAAGGCGCCGAAAATTCAAATTTTACAAATTTCGGTTGGCGAAAATTTCAGCGGGATTTGAATAATGAGTGACAAAAGCTTGAGAATGATTTAAATAATCGAATTAGAAAAAAAATTTCCTCTAACAAAATAAACTTCCTAGTAATATCTAAAAGCTGTTGAAATTTCAGACTGCAACGTTTAGAAGAATCAGCTCATCTCAAAAGGAAGATGGTATTAATAACGTTCATTATTATTTTCCTCCGTTTGCAAAATTTAAAAAATGTTTGTGGTTTCGTTACAACAAATAGTCAAAAAAAAAATGGCATTTTTAGAATTTTGAGAGGCTACAACTATTGGAAGGGTGAAAATACTTAAAAAAATTTTTCTACGGAAAAAAATTTCTGTAAAGACCAATTCATATACAAAATTACAGATTTTTAGCTACAATAGTGTAGAAGTTTTGCAAACAAACACACGGATGGAAGGACAGATGTACAGACAGAGTGAAACTAATACACATTTTTTTTTTTCAATCTTTTTTTGGAAACATGCTAAACATGTTACTTTCAAATATAATCACCACAGAGAATTTGCACATCTCATTGTCACATTTTTCTCATAAAAGCTTATTATTAAAAATTTTCAATTTTAAATTCTTTTATATTTGTAACTGGGCTTACAATGCTCACAAAAATTTGCTACTCTTTTAAAGATTCTTGCTTTAAATAAATGTTCAGTGTTTAGCATACCGCAAACGAATAGCTTTTGTTTAAAAATTATTGTTGGTTTTGCTTTTAAAATATCAAAAACCCCTAAATGCAATTATGATTTTAAATTTAGTTTTATAATTTTCAATTTTATTGCAACTCATTTAGCTATACTCCTACCATTTTTTTTTCTGCTCTTTTCGAATTTCCTATTTTCTTTTAAATATACGTAAATCAATTTTTCATTAGTTTTCTATAACAATATTGTAAATATTTCAAAATAAAATTAATATAAAAGTTTTTCTTTTCATTTAACTTATTTCTCTGTTTTTTTTTTTGTTTTTTAGTTTTTGAGAATAGCACAATCAATGACATTTAATTGCACAGCAAACCAAAAAAACAAAAAAAAAATAAAAAAAATAAACTCATAAAAATATTTTATTTTAAAAATTTAGTGCACTTTTTATAAATTTAACTTGTCACCAGATTTTATTTTATAAACAAAAAAAAAATACAAAAAAAAAAACTGTACTCAAAATTTCAATTGCACATTTTATTTTTAATATTTAAATGAACTTTTTGCATTAAAACACACATTTGCACTGCAGAAAAAAAATTATTTAATAAATATAAAAGAGCACATATAGCACTGAAATAAAAAAAAATAAAAAAATAATTAAAAAATATTGCAAAAAAAAGTAAAAATTGTTTTCCTTTCTACACACGCAATTTTTAATTTTCACGTATTTTTGTCTTGTTTTTTTGTACTTCACCCTATAACTTTTTTAATAAATCACGTATATCCAAAAATTCAATAATTTCAATTTAATAATAAAAATATTTTTTTTTATATACTAAAAATAAATTTTTTGTGCTTCAAATGTTTTAATAAAATTTAATAAAATTTTTTACATAATAATTAAAAAAAAAAATCAATACAAAAAAAAATGGTTTTTATTCCTTTTAAAAATTGTAATTTATCCATATCATAAAATACAAAACTAAAAATCTGATACAATCTGCAAAATACATTCGTTTTAAAGTGTAAATTTAAGAAAATTCAGAAAAAAATCAAAACTTTATTGTCGGAAACCTCATAATCAAAAATATACTATAAAATTCTTACAAAAAATTCGGAAAAAAATTTGCATTTACATTGTTTAAAATCTGAAATAAAACAAAAAACAAAATTAAAGGAGTCTCAAAAATTTCTACATAAAATCAACCAGAATATATCAAAAGTATCCTGCATATCAATAGTTAAGATATTTATAATCAGAAGCAGAAAACTATAAAATCTTTAAAGATGAATACTAAAACAAATAAGGTAATTTTCATTTCGCATGAGTTATAAATCGCTTATGTGCATATTATATATATATATATACATTCTATATTTTCTATCAATATAAATTTGATAAAGAATAAAAATTTTATTTGATTATTTTAAATTTTTTTTTTCTAATAAAATTTTATTGATATTCCTACTCATTATACCGGTACAAACCGATGTTCGATGGGAATATTCTGAGATATAGACAACAAATAGAGAAGGGTAAATATGTGATTTTTCAGGGTCAGAAAGATGGGACAAAAAACAACGTTTATGGAGAAGGGTGGATCACAAATAAATTTTTAACACTCAAATTCCTAGTTGAAAATTTTTGCTAGCTTCCATAATCCTTAATCGATTTTAAAAAATTAATACGTAATGGAAAACTAAAAAAAAGATCTCTGCTATAATCTATAATTCACAAAGTATATACCTAATTTAATTAAATTTTGCATCCTAATAAAATTAGCTCATTGTTTTAGAAATTAGAATTTTGAATATGTTCCAAAAAAATTATTAAAAATTGAGAATTTGTCGTAAATTTTTGAAATGAATTGAAAACTCTTATTTCTGCGTTATTTCCACTTCAAATTAAAAGAGATTCAAAAAACAAATTTCACAAAAATCTAAAAATTACGAAAATTAAGCAAAAAAATTTTAGGCAAATTAACATTTTTCCGAAAATCGAACACAGGCTATTATTGAAAAATTTTTCTCAGAGACATTTGAATTACTTTGAAAAATAACTTTAAATTTAACTTCAAATAATTTCAAATGTAATTAAATAAAACGGATTTTAAATTCTGGAAATTTTGAATACTGAACTAAAATTATATTTAAGACGTAGATAGAACACCTGCTACTCTTTTACCTGGAAATTAAATTTTTCATCTTTTTTTTTTTCTTTTTCATTTTTTACGTTAATGAAAAATAAATTACAATGGAAAAAAGAAAAACAGAAACTTTTTTACTTTTAAATATGTACGTGCACATAAACATGATTTACTGTACACATTTACATATAAATGTAAATGTTTCATGCTTTAAGCAAAACAAAAATGCTTCAACAAGCAACTAAATTTTTCTTCTTTACTCAAAACATCATTTTATCTTCTCGGTTTTTTTTTTTTACACAATTTCACAGATTAATTTTGTAGTGCTCTTCTAAAATCAAACAGAGAAAAACAGGGAAAAATTACAATTTTACCTATATGCATATCTGTAATAAGAAACAGGTTCTAGTGAAAACAATACACATTATACTAGGAGAACAAATCAATGAATGCTTTGTTTGCTTCCCGGTTTTTTAATGAATTCATGCACTTAGAATATTATAACAAGTTTAATAAAGAGTAATAGTTGTTAAAGCAGCGTATTTCATTTGGAAAATAGAATATTTTTTTTTTTGGAAACGGTGAATTTTGCATACATTAAGGGGCAAAATTTAAATACTTCTATTATTTTTTTTAGGTATTGAAAAATTGATCTAGAATATTTTATTATTGTTTTTTAATAAATTTATTTAATTATTAAATACAAATTACGGATTTAAAATTTAAATTATGTAGCTATGTAAAAAATTATTACATAATTTTATTTGAGAACAAATATTTGAATCACATACACAAAATCAATTGGTAAGGATTTTGAATATGGATGAAATGATTGACTTTATAAAATTCCTTTTCAAAAACTATTTAGCAACTTCGAGAATTTTTAAAATAAGCCCAATGGTGATCTTACTGCAAACTAATCTGTCTACCTACGACTTTTTGTACGCTATGCAATTTCACATTTTTGGTCAAATATTTTTTTTGCAAAATTTGATTTTGCCTTTCAATAATTATTTCATATTTTTCAAAACTTTTATTTGCTTACCAACACAAATATTAGATTTCCACATTTTTTCATAAATGTTTACACATTGTATTTATATTTATCACTTCCCTCATATGAACACTTGAAAATTACACAGCCAGTTGAATATTGAACAATATTGTTATAAGGATTTTTTATAGGAATTTGATTTTGAATTTATTTTGTATACTACGGTAAATAGTTTCATTCAGGTAGGTTTATTTATATTTCTTGAAAAAGGAAAATTGATTCCTGATACCAACAATAAGTTCCTATACCAATTAAAATAATATATAAGAAAAAATCCATATGCATATATGTATTTATTAGGATTTATATGTATTTTAAAGGACAAAAATAGAGTTAGACAATTTCGAAGTAATGAGCACTTCATATTTTAATTTGAAATTCTCTCAAAATATGCTAGAAAATAGAAAGAAAATGAATAATAATTTATACAATCCGCTTTCATTAGAATTTCCGATTTCTCTATAGTCTCTTTTATTCCATGTTTACATATTATATGAATATTAATGTATGTATATTTATCTATACATACATACTCATCCGATCCTAGACATCGCTTTTCTTTGTTTATTTTAATATGCAACTAATTGTTCAAAAAATGACAATGGTTTAGAATTAAAATATCATGAGAATGCAAAATATAAATCTCATTGAAATAAAATAAGAATTTACGGAAATTCGAAGTTTAATTAGAAATAATCTAAGCAATTTCAAACACTAAAAACTATATGGCCAGTAAGTATTTGCAATATATATGTACAACCAATTGAAAAATATAGTTTAAGAGCAGAAAAAGATTTGTGATTATGTTGGAATAAGGGAAGGAATAATATCTTTGAATAAAAATGTAAGTGGCAAGTAATATTTAATTTAGATTTTAAATTTTTAAATTATGTCAATTTCTAATTCATGATTTAATCTAGTAAAATTTACGTAAACAAATGTAATATTATAATATGGAGATAAGAACTTTACAAGCAGTATATTATTTACGCTTCTACAAAAGACCAAATTATTTATATTTAAAATAACCTTAAATTACATAAAACTAATCTGAACATTAAAAACAAGTTTTTTTTAAAACATTTTTAATACTTCTTACAACTCTTTAATCAAAATAATATCAACTATTATATTACTAATTCCCAATATAAGCTGTAGTTGTTTATATTCATTATTAATTCTTACAAGAATAACTAACGCAAATTCGTTCATGCAACTGCAAAATAAGTTGATGACGCAATCAAAGGAATGAGTTAAGGCAGAAAAATTTATTAAAAAATTTTTTCCCCTCGAATTGAACTCAAACCAATGGCCATACCGCTTTCTAAGCGGACGCTCAACAAACTGAGCTATAGAAGCATAGACAAGTTGCCAGCTAATATAATAAAATCCTAGAGTAGCACCCTTACTCTTAAAAAACTCTTTAAAATTTTGTACAACACCCTACTAGCAAAAAAAACAAAAATTTCTTAAAATTTTTCACGATCCCCTACCTTGGCAAAAAACCAAACATTTTTTAAAATTTTGCGCGACCAAAATACAAAAATTTTTTTTAATTTTTCACGACCCCCTACCTTGGAAAAAGAGCAAAAATTTTCTAAAATTTTGCTCCACCCCTTACTTTGGAAAAAAAAAAACAAAAAATTTTTTAAAATTTTACTAGACCCCCTACCTTGACAAAAAAACTAAATTTTTTTGAAAATTTTTTAAAATTTTGCACCTTGGCAAAAAAACAAAAATCTTGTAAAATTTAGTAGCATAGAAAACATTACTTCTCAATATCGCTGATTCTAAACCGACCACAAATGTAGACCATTCGATTTTTTCTAAATTAACGTGCTTTAGCAAAACTTCCAGTGTATGTTTTGAAGACTTTACAAAATCTATAAATTCTCAACAGGACTTTGGCCTATTAACACCGTATACTACATTTTCATTTGATGATAAATCATGATACAATATATTTGAATGTATGATATACTATTATGAAATTCTCATTTGAATTCCAGCTGAACGAAGGCTTAATCTTTTATAATCGTAGCTCAGAAATAGTATGCTAACATGTAACACAACTAATACAATAAACTCAATATTTTCTTTAATATGAAACCTCTAAAAATTATATGTATGCAATATATATATATATATAGTGTAAATAAATGTGTATGTAAATAAGAAAATTAATAATATTATTTTTTCTAAATAAATTTTCAAAGAAATAATATTAAAAATCTTTAGAAAATTTTCAAATATGGAGGGATGATAAAAAATTTAGAATATTTTACAAAATTTTTCATTATTCTTAAATTTGTAGCGTACAATATTCTTCTTAAATTTTTCACTTGTTGTTTTTTTTTTTCTTTTACTTGCAATTTTATAGAAGATTTATAGTCTGTCAGTTTAGCATTTCCTTAAAGTTAATTTTGTGTTTCTGTTATATAGGGTTTTTCTTCTATTTTCTTTTTTGATTAAGGATGGACAGCTTTTGTATTACGTATATTATTTTTGCCTCTTTTCCTTAAGAACTTTTATTTTAATAATATTTAAGGAGAAGAAGAAAAGATTCGGAAGACAAAAAAAAAGAAAATACATCTATATCCTTTTTGCAATCCACTTATTCTCATTGTAATAAATTATATATTATATTTTATATATATATATACATAATATTTTTATTTTTGTCCTTCATATATAAAGCCCTTAATTTGTCCTCTTTGATAATTCAGATATTTAAGCTTTAAACTTTTTTAATAATAAATTTAAAGAACAAGAAAAAAAAAACAATATTTTCTTGTTCTGAAAAGAAAATTTTCGTTTCTGTTTTTTTTCGGTTCCTTTTTTTCTCCTTTTGTATTGTAATTTCTTAAATAATAAGCAAATTTTAAATAATCTCATGATTAAAGAGTAAAACACCTGTTTCAAGTTAATGTCACCCTTAAATAATAATAAAAGAAAAAGGTTAAATGATTTAGAATTTTAATATAGGTCTATGCAGATCATAGGGGAAATTTAAATATTTCTTTTTTGTTTAAGAAAGAATAAAAAAAAATTTATTATATAACGAGGGTTAAATTACAAATAAATTGATATTAAATTGTTTTTTCTTA